CCCCAAAACCCCAAAACCCCAAAACCCCAAAACCCCAAGCCATAAAAATATTATTATAAATTAAACTATGTCTGAAGTCCTAGAAAGTGATACTGTCAGCAGCCTTCAAAGAATAGACAAGAATTTTTACCATAAATCCCTGTACCAACTGTGATATCTCCTACAACTAAGAGTCACCCATTTCTTGCAGAACAAGCCCTTTGATGACACCCAGTTTCGGAATAACTTCGTCAGGCTGTATAAATAAGGTAAATGCTAAATATAAATGTAGATTGAGGACATGCCTGAATTTGTGTACTGATTTACCGACCTAGCAAGAGTCTTCAGCTGCTTCGATGATAATAACACATTTTAAAAGAATAAATAGAGCACAAACTAATAACCAAGTTGGTGGTAATTTAATGATGAAATATTAGAGAGGCTAAGCACAAGTGGTTACAGTATTAAGAATACTCTAGATTTTGAAAATAATAGTGCTAATAATCAGAGTTGTATGAATCCTTCAACTACTATCCATACCAAAGGGAACCAAAATTCCCAGTGGGCTAGCTCTAGCGATGGAAGTAAGTACCCTTATTCCTAGTGTAAAAATTAGCTCCCTTGATGAATAATTATGAATAAACTGTTTAGAATCGAAGAATACTTCAGTTCCATCAATTGCTAAGAGACAGATCCCTGTTATCTTCAAGCCGAACATTCTCAGAGTGTCGTAAGGGTCTCTTCATCTCTCTAGTGAGGAAAGGAAGAAGAGACTCTCTTCTCAGAACCGTGAGGAGAAGAGGCTTCCTAAAACTGCCAATGGAAGTCAGATGACTTCAAGATTAAAGACTTATGAAAACAGATTGTTCCAAAATTTGAAAAATGAAGAAATCAAGAATAATAAATAAGATCAGAAGCCTTAAGGATCAGTAAGCAGTAGGTAGTATTATAGACTAAATGAGAATTATAAGGAGGCTAAACGAAAGTCTATCACTTCTTCCCACCAGAACCCTTCTGGGACGTCTGGGTCTAAGAGGAGAAATAAAAGAAACTTAGATATGAATCTGGTAGGCCCAAGAAACCGTCCCAAAAAGAATAACTATGTCCCTGAGATTCAGATCAAAGTTGGAGTTCAGAACAATCATTACAGCTTTTTCAATACAATTAATGAAAGTGATGAGGACGATGACAAATATGTCACTGTGAATGTGATCAATAATAGTAAGGGAAAGGCTTAATTCTTTTAGAATACAAGTTCAAGCCCTCTTCTAAGGGATATAATCTAGTTCCACCGAAAACAACTAAGGGAAAGAATCCGAGAGGGTTTCCTAGTGTCAGCAGCTTAAAGAAACCCGCTCAGAATCTTTACAAGAGGCATAACTTAGAACCCCCGATCGATCTGAGATCTACAAGCAGGAGGTACAGAGAGATGTTACAAACAAGACTCAACAAGAGTAAGTCCTCTCGTGATAAGTCAAATTTAAGAAATAGAAGTTAAGATAATTAATTTTTCAATAGTTTCACCAACCATCGGGGTTTTGGGGTTTTGGGGTTTTGGGGTTTTGGGG